TAAGACTTTTCTGCTTATTTTGGTTCATACTATTACCTCCTGAAATATTTTGCACTCTTTTTTTAACACCCTGTATATCACACAGCAAAAGTAATTAATAAATCAGATTTGACACTTTTTCTTCCTCATGACAGTTTTTTGCTGGATCTGGCAAACTTGTAGTCACTCGAACTCTGATCAAGAACAAGTTATTCTTTGTCTTAGATTGTTTTGCAATTTTATGTTTAAGTTTGTTACTTCTCACGGAAATAATAATTATTGCAAGTAGCCTGGTATACCCTATTTTAAAGTCAATATTTTCCTCAAAAATGGAAAATCTCTAAAGTAAAACCTACACCAAAAGTAAACAATCCAAAAAGTGTATGGATCTTCGTCCGATTAGTCTCATTCCTGCTTTATCTAAAATTTTTGAAAAAGTAATTTATAATAAAATATATAAATACTGTTGTTCAAATAACATTTTAAACTCTTTTCAATCTGACTTCAGAAAAGGCTTTAGTACAACAACAGTTTTATTTGAAACTGCTGATAATATATTTAGGTCACTTGATTCTGGAAATGCAACAGCATTTATTTCACTAAATTTTTCCAAAGCCTTCGGCACGCTAGACCATGCTTTGCTAATCTCGAGATTACAATTTTATTGGTTTGATGACACTTCGTTGCAATTTTTTAAATTATACTTAAGTTATCGCCAGCAAATGGTAGTCATTGATAATAATGAAACTTCCGCGTTATCTTTCATAAGTTCGGGGGTGCCCCAAGGATCGATTTTAGGACCTATTCTTTTCTTGATTTATACATTTGTACTTACTTTGGACAGCGTTAATTTCAAAAATTTCGATGACATTAATGTAGTTACAATTCCAGATTCTAAAAATGGTATGTCACGTACGTTTACAATTACTTCTCGTCCGGGTTCTGTTTCTTACCTAGAAATTCTCAAGAAATATAATATCAAGATTAGACTGAAAATTAAAACTGAGATTTCACGCTTTTTTATGCTCTATCAAGCAGGTAGATGTTACAACCAACCAGTGGACAATAATACCCTTTCTATGATTCCTAATAAGATTACACAGTTGTTGAAACTAGAACATCCTGAAACATATACAGGCCATTCATTCCGAGGAACATCGGCAACGTTTCTGGCTAATACAGGAGTTGATGTATTAGCAATCAAGAGACATGGTGGGTGGAAATCAGCCACAATTTCAGAAAGTTATGTTGCTGACAGTTTAAGTAACAAAAATGAAATAGCCAACAGTTTTCTTATCAAGACACTTCAACTCCAGATTCTAGTAGTACGTCGCATCATGCTGTTTTAAATCAGTCACATAATATTGAGCCTCCTGTGACTGAAATGGAGCGGCTAAATCATTTTGAGAAAAATGTAACAATTAGTAAACGTGAGGGGAATAATTATTCAGATTTTATAAATGTTACTAAATGTAATAACTGTACAATTACTATAAATATTCATTCATAATAATTAATAAAATGTAATGTTCATCAAATATTTCTATTTATTTGTTCATAAAATATGCATTTATGACTTGAAACCGCTTCTTCCCTAGAGAGGTAAGTTACCTCACCCCGTTGTCCTTAGCAACTTCCACTTCTACGGTAAAATCCACTTACCTCCTTAAAAACAATGTAATAATAGTCTATTTATTATAGTGGGAGCAGATAAAATGAATTTGTTTGTATTGCCTCTAGAATAGTGTAAAAACTGTTTTGAATAATTTTTGCATTCGATGAAAAGTTTTAATTTGTTGCTATATCTTAAAAGTGCTGGTGGTCCACTTCTCCTCAACTCACCCCACATAATTGTTATTAATATCCATAAGAAGACAATCTGATTTATTTCAATTTCTTTTTGTGACAAGGACCTGTCACCAATTTATTGGTAGTCAATATACATCTATTGATTCCTGTTAGAATCCAGACCACACGCATTTGGCAACCACACGCTATTCAAATACAAATTAATCTAACTTAAAAAAAATCCTACTGCTAATGGAGCGATTTGTTTCCTTTATCGGGCAAACGTCCACCTGATCTCCGCGAATGGAGCTTCGCACTAATGAGGTTCCAAAGGGAATTTATTTGACTCTGCGTTTGATTCGATAGAGATCTTGAGCTTATGTGCAAGTCTAATTGACTGAGAAGACGGACTTACTAAAACTATCAACGTTTCGAAGTTAAGAGATGTCTGTGGAGGTGTATCCCGATCGAATAGATGCCAGTTGATATCGTGAAGTTTTATGGTTGTCATCTTCTGTATGAAGGAGACACTGAATAAGCAAAAACATTATACGAAAGTACTAAAATAGATTCGATTAATTCGTAAAATATTACTGTTAAACATTGCTCGATAACCAGTAGCGGCTATTGACTTCCGTACAAGGGAGGGCGGAAAAATTTAGGTACAAAATATTGATACAGAAAATATATAATAATTTAAAACTATTAAGTGAAATAATTTGAAATTGGGCACATGTATTTATCCAAACATTGTCCAAAATCTGAGGGCTTTTCCTAAAATTTACGTGATCCAGTGGCGGAGATATAGAGTGTCGGTGGAATATTTTTCTAAATAAAATAGTACACCACTGCTTTACGGTAACAACCATGATATTTTCGGATTCGTCTTTCAATTTTCTACAAATTACTATTCTCTTATGTTTTTCAGAAAGAAACATGATTTTCGAGTAAAACTTAAAAAAACCAACTGAGAGCACACTTCGATATCACCATTTGTGCATCACCCTGTATAACTGGGTAGTTTTCCATAAGTGCTATTGAAATATAGAGAAAATGTGCTCAACTTTATTTTTTATAGTGAGTCAATTCTTCTGTTTATGTCCAAAATAAACTTTTCAATAACTTTTTCATTAAAGTGTGGTATTTCTCGCGCCGCTGATTTTTCAATAGATAACATTGCAAGTACTGTTAATCTGTCTTTACGATGTAATTTACACTTTTACAATAATAAAAACACTAAAAACAATGCGTAGGTAACAAAATTTTACACCAAGCGTAAACAAATTACCGGTAATAAAAAAAAAGGAATGAATAGTATTACTTGGTTACGGGTGCACTAAACAGAGCCCAAATTGCATAATAAACATGAGCTACTCCCAATCCGTGTTTTACTGCTGCGCGACTGTAACCATGACCACCGCTGTAAACACTTTACAGGTTTAAGGCGAGGTACGAGTAGTCTACGCATTGGTGTTTTTCAAATCGAGGTAAATTGACCGCACATTACAAATTTTCCATTTTCTTTTTCATGTGTTTTATAAGGTTAATCCATTTAATTATCTAGATAGCATTGTAAACTAAATTTTAACTTATAACGAGCGTTCAAATAAAAACGCGGTCGAAGTTGGTTCTGACACATTGGACGTAGGGAGTAGCTTATAGCGACCAACTTAACCTCATTTCTCAACGAGCTGTATAGCAGCTGTCAGTTTCAATAACGTTAATGACTATATAACTTTATTTTAAAGAATAATCGTGATAACAATAACAAACAATTAAAGGAGCTGCGGAAAGTGTCCCCCTCCTTGTTATAACAATAAATTAAAGCAGCTGCTGAAAGTGTCCCCCTCCTTGTTCCAAGCACTTTTCACACCTGTTCCTCAAAGAATTAAAGACATTTTCTAAGATGCTCGGGGTATTGTTAATTTCACGAATCTTGTCTATAAGTCGAGCCTGCAGATGGTTTAAATCAGGAATAGGCAGTTCAAAAATAGTGTTTTTAAGGTAAGGCCACAAAAAGAAATCACACGGCGTAATATCACATGACCTCGGTGGAAATTCATGTTCAGCATTGAGACTTATTAGTCGATTTTGGAAAACTTCCCTCAACATATTCATCGTCTCGCCTGCCGTATGTGCCCTTGCGCCATCTTGTTGAAAGTAAAAGTTTGTAATTTCGTTTTCTTCCAGCTGGTTAACAAAAGGAGCGATAATTTCTTCTCTATACCTTTGCGCAGTAAGAGTACCATTAAAAAAAATAGGTCCATAAATCCTCCTTCGATTGAGAGCACACCAAACTCCAATTTTTTGAGCGTGTAGAGGGCCCTCGACAAAAAAGTTATCTGGTTTTTCAGAAGACCACATTCTCATATTCTGTGAGTTTACGTAACCACTTAAATGAAACCAGGCTTCATCAGAAAAAAAGGTGATATTATGAAGTTCACCGTAGTTGTTTAAAAACCATTCACAAAATACAGCCCGTCGCGGAAAATCAACTTCATGAAGTTCTTGCTGACAAGTTAAACGATAGGAGAACAAACGCAAATCTTTTTTTAACACTGTGTGGCAGGTACCGACTGATACTCCCACCATTTGTGATAAAACACGTACAGAAGTTCTTGGCGCATTTTCCATTATTTGTTGGACATTTTCTTTTAATTCTTCAGTCCGCTTTTTAGGTCGGCCGCTTCCTTCTTTTCTTGTTACACTGCCCGTTTCACGAAAAACATTAACACAACGCTGAACTGCACTTTGAAAAATTTTGTACTCAACAACGCCGGGAAATTGATTTTGAAATTCTATGAAACATTCCTCAATAGAATACTTCCATATTCCATCAATCTTGCGTCCATTTCTAAAGTAGGACTCTATGATAAACACTTTTTGTTCTTGAGAAAACACCATTTTAAACGCTTTTTAAAACGAAAATATTCAAATTGATAGCGGCGATATAGCGCTTTGACAGATGACGTTTAAGTTCATTTGCTATACGCTACGCCCTACGTCCAAATTTTCAGAACCAACTTGACCACTGACCACTTGACCATATATTTGAACGCTCGTTATTTTTTACTGTGAAACCCTAGGGAGCCCAGAGATAATGACGTCACAGTGTCAAATGACAAAATTCATTTTTAATAGTGAAACTATTATTCAAAAACGTGTAGACACTGCTAGAATGTTCTTAACGCCTTTTAAAGCTTATGTTATGATTGATTTTCTTTTTTTTTCAGAGTGTGAACTCGCGTGGCGTCATAGGTAGTGTGGATGAGACTCTGGAGGAGTGCTCCGCTTGCCTAAAAGGGTCCTGCAACAGTATCAACGGCATCTACACCCGCCATGACTTGCCACCAGGATATTCGCTGGTCACGCAGATTCCTGCTGGCGCTTGCAGGATTCTCATTCAGCAGCTGAAACACAGCAGAAACTTTCTCGGTAAGTTCTAGTACAAATTTTACCAGGAAAACATAACCTAACTCCAATTTGATTAAGATATAAGGGCGTTTTTGTACTTTTCCAAATGCGGCAAATTTCTGTGGCCAACCTTTATGATTTATGAAAATATCTTTAGTTTTGCAATAATTGGAAACAAACATTTTCTAGAGAGGGAGAAAAAAGAAACTTTTAAGAATTTTTTCCAGTATTGTGTTCGTATTTTTATACTTATTTTTATATTTTTAAACGTATTAAGAGAAAATTGTGTACACGCTTTTAATAGGCGTGTTTAAAAAGTGACAGATGAATGTGTGTCAAAAGTACGACTCAAATGTAGTCTGTCACTATAGCAAATAATGGGGTATGTACGCTTATTACCATGATTTATAGAAAACCGTTGACTTAATACCGGCAAATTACACACAAGTCTAGGTCGGCTTATCCAAGCCATTACTATACAAAGCAACTAAAAAAATCTCTATTATAATTTACATAAATTTCCTAGTTACATGTTTGTTATGTTATTAAGCTCTATTCAATTTATTGATAGAGTTGCTTGAATTATACACTATACGACAGGGAAATTGTCACTCATGGGCATGGTTTCTTTAACCTTACCTGAAGTTTAACATGCCGTTACGTAAATTTAAGAGTAAACCTAGGTAATGATTAATAACAATAAGATTCGCTAATATTAGTCTCCGAAATATTTATAACAGATTAAAAACTTGTGAAAGTTGAAAAAGAGTGAAATAAGTGGCAAAATATTAATGATTTTTTTAATAAAGTTAATTTCTAGCGTAGTTTCAAAAGGCGTCCATAGACTACCACGCAACTATGTTCCTACCTAGCGCGAAAACTAGGTAGTGTACGGGGACCTTAAGGTTGCATCAAAACGAACCTTGACCAGTTTCCTGCGCCCATAAGCTTTACAATAATAATTTACGCGTTTGTGATAAAACGCCGACAGAGGAGTGTTAGAAGCAGAGAGTGAGCAGTCACAAGCGTATCTACAATTAGAGCTATTAAGGTTATGTTTATTTAGAGGCCGGTGCCAAATCTCGGATTCGCTAAGTGGCCGAGGGCAATAAATTTATTACAACTTATTGCAATCTGTTTGTGGCAATTTAGATAATGGGTCGAGTTGGTGCTATGAAGTTAATAGTATGGGATGGGTAGTGTGTTTCCATGGTCAGAGTTGGATTCTATTTAATAACAGTGACGCTTGCGTTTCTTTTAATATTTCTCTTTCGCGTAAAACATGATTAACAAAAAAGTGGTTAGGCTATTTACACTCAGTGCAATATTTGTTTAGGTAGAATTCCAAGAAAAAAACAGAAGAAACACGCATTCGTAACTGCAAAACACAGTATGTATTGCAAATTGCTCCTCTGAATGCCACGTCACTTATTTCTTTTTACCTCGGGTGTACAATGCGGTTAATTCCAAGAGAGTAACGCAGGGGTCTTCTTGGAATTCCATCTCAACAAGTACCGTACGGACTGTACTTGTTTTGTATTTATAATGTCGCTTTTAATATAAATATTTGGTTTGGTATTTATCTACCATGGTGCCAAAAGTGACAGTTTTTTAATACAGGCTGTCTCCTAAAGAAACGCCGCAAGCCATAACTCCGTCATTTATAGTCTATTGGAGCGTATTTTTTTTTTGAAAAGCGATAGTCAACTTTTTTTTTTCAAAAGGCAATATAGGTTTTTTATTTATTATTGTACAGATTTCTATTCTGAATTCAACGATGTACCTATATAAAGTTTACTTTTGTGAAACATGTATTATAGAAAAAAACCTCAAAATATTAGTCAATACCGCATTATTAGCGCCCGGTCGCTTAATTGGCAACAAACATATTTTATCTGATCCCACAATAGTAAATAGACATAGACATAGACATAGACAATACATTGTTTTTAAGAAGGTGAGTGGATTTTACCGTAGATGAGTGGTAGTTGCTATGGACAATGGGAGGTAAGTGAGGTAACTTACCTCCTTAGGGAAAAAGCAATTTCGAGTTATAAAATGAACAAATAAATAGAAATATTTGATGAACTTTATATTTCATTAATTATTATGAATGAAAATTTATAGTAATTGTACAGTTATTACATTTCCATTCCATATCCATTAAAACAGCATTGTAAAGAATCCTGTTGGCTATTTAATTTTTGTTACTTAAACTGTCAGCAACATAACTTTCTGCAATTGTGGCTGATTTCCACCCACCATGTCTCTTGATTGCTAATACATCAACTCCTGTATTAGCCAGTAACGTTGCCGATTTTCTTCGGAATGAATGGCCTGTATATGTTCCAGGATGTTCTAGTTTCAAAAACTGTGCAATCTTATTAGGAATCATAGAAGGGGTATTCTTGCCAACTGGTTGGTTGTAACATCTACCTGCTTGATAGCCCATAGAAAAGCGTGAAATTTCAGTTTTAATTTACAATCTAAACTTGATATATTTCTTGAGAATTTCTAGGTGGGAAACAGAATCCAGACGAGAAGTAATTGTAAATGTACGTGACATACCATTTTTAGAACCTGGAATTGTAACTACAACAATGTCATCGAAATAGCCAAATACACCAGTATTTTTGTTCTGGCACCATTCTATGAAATTTCTATATGCTCGTCTGTAGCGCACCTTCGACTTCTCGAGCAATACAAATTCGCAGGCGTCATTTGCTGCACTTTCTATTTGAAAATCACTCATTTAATACATAATAATTCAAAACCAGCAAAATTGCAACTTTTATGTAGCTTTGTAGCAGATAAAATTTTATACACCACGCAGTAATTAAATTTAATTTACCACTCTCGGAGTCTATTGCCAGCCCTCGCTCCGCTCGGGCGCAAAATCATCCTCGACTGTTAAATAATACTTATCTCCTTTATGGTGTAAATATCTATTTTTACCTAGGCAATTATAAAATTTTCCTTTTTTCAACCTGATTTCAACCTTACCTGCATCAAGTTACATGACAGTTACCTGTCACAGAAATAACTTAAAAATTTGTTTTAATAAGCGATTTACCGCGAAAAAGAATCGTGAAGCTGGACCTGGCTTCTGTATTGTAGTATAACAACCCTAGGTTCGACAAAAAACAATATATCGTAGTTGTGGCCAAAAACATGTGATCGTCATAAGGACTACCTACGTTGTGTGTATCCATTTTTAATTGACCGGAAGGCACTGGCTACTAACTTTGTAGAGGGGATGTATGGTTTNTGGGAAACAGAATCCAGACGAGAAGTAATTGTAAACGTACGTTACATACCATTTTTAGAACCTGGAATTGTAACTACAACAATGTCATCGAAATTTTTGAAATTGACGTTGCCCAAAGTAAGTTTGCATAACTCATCAGAACGGCATGCTCCTGCAATGCCTAAGACCGTCACTACCTTCATTAGCAAATATGTGTTATGGGGTGCCTAAAGGAGGAGAGGAGAGAATCGTTAATCTTGTAAAATATTTGACTATTTAGGTGTATAGCCAAATACACCAGTATTTTTGTTCTGGCACCATTCTATGAAATTTCTATATTCTCGTCTGTAGCGCACCTTCGACTTCTCGAGCAATAAAAATTCGCAGGCGTCATTTGCTGCACTTTCTATTTGAAAATCACTCATTTAGAAATACATAATAATTCAAAACCAGCAAAATTGCAACTTTTATGTAGCTTTGTAGCAGATAAAATGTTATACACCACGCAGCAATTAAATTTAATTTACCACTCTCGGACTCTATTGCCAGCCCTCGCTCCGCTCGGGCGCAAAATCATCCTCGACTGTTAAATAATACTTACCTCCTTTATGGTGTAAATAACTATTTTTACCTAGGGAATTATAAAATTTTCCTTTTTTCAACCTGATTTCAACCTTACCTGCATCGAGTTACATGACAGTTACCTGCTCTAATTTCTCGGGAGTAACGATTTCCAATCAACTAAAATAAACTCTCCCAAACGGAAACCAATTTACGGAAAGAACATAAACCTAGTCTGTCCAGGATACCTGCCAGTGCACCTCGTCGGAATCGGGACAGAAATAACTTAAAAATTTGTTTTAATAAGCGATTTACCGCGAAAAAGAATCGTGAAGCTGGACCTGGTTTCTGTATATTATCTTTTATATGAGGAAACGCGTATTTTTGCATTGTGAAATACAGAGGTTTCTGTTCTAAGAGTAAAATATTTTTCAGAGTTTTAATATCTTTTTCTACTAGTCTTCCTGGATATCTTTTCAGAATCATATACATTTTAATGAGTTATTACAGCAAGCGTCGGTACTGAATCTACTGCTGAATACAACCGTCATACACAGTTGCTAACAATCGATATTATTATGTAAATTAGAGATGCTGATTACGTATTGTTGAAACACAGGCGAATAATATTCTTTATCCTCAAAGGTAACGAGGTAAATAAATTGCTTCGGTGTCAGATAAGTGAGAATCCTCATACAGAGTGTCAGTTTCTGTTAAATGTTATTTGTAGCTACTATACAAGGAGTTTAATGAAAGTTAATATTTTTGTCTGTGACAAGAAAAAAGTTTGACATTTTATCTCTCTTGACAGGCAACAAAACGTTTCTTTCTATGAAATTACTTTTTTCCCGGGATAAAAATGAATACCTACTTTTTTCCCGGATATGTACACATAAGAACATGCGGAGATGTTTAATTTTAGAATATTTTATTATACAAAATTCATCAATAGACCCTTCAGCGACCGTTGATGACTTCCAACCACCATGTTTCTTTAGTGTCATCAAATCTCCAGATTCAACTAAAAGTGTAGCAGACGATTTTTGAAATGCATGACTTAGCATTTTCAAGTAGAAGAAAATCGGCTACTGTTTCAGGTATCTTATAAAATTAAGTTTTACAAACATCACCTGTGGCATACTGATGAATATTAATAAGTTCAAAACCGGTCTATGTCTGGTGACTCTATTGACGGAAAGTCTTACTAGATATTGTGTGTGTAATTCAACGCTATACAGGGCTTTAGTCCGCAGAGTAATTGCTTCCTATGAAATCATTAGTTAAATAGTAAATCACTGTTTACTTTAGTTTTGTACTGAAATTGTAATATCAAAACTTTTTTAAGCTCTGAGGAATTCCAATGGTTCATACATCGTGAACGGAGATTGGAAGGTCAGCAACAGCAGGGTATTCCAAGGAGCAGGAACCAAGTTTGTCTATGTACGGCAGGATGAAAATTCATTGGAAACCCTCACGTCACCAGGACCTCTGGCCAACAGTGTCGACATTATGGTAAGTCGTCTTCAACTAGCAAGATCCTCGTTGAAAGCTCCTTTTATTCTTTCCAGATAGTAAACTACCAGATGAATCCAGGGATTAAATACGGATATTCCCTGCCAGTAGACCACAATCCAGTTCTAGCTCCGCCGTTTCTGAAGAAACCACCAGCGATCGAACCTGCTGTGGTAGAAACCAGGAGGCTAGAATCGCCTCTATACAACATAAGCCAGAAAGACGAAGCTAGACCACCAGTCCACCCAGGACCAAGAAGGACGAGAGTTAGAAGGAAGTACTTCCACTGGAAAATCACCGGACTAACAGCTTGTTCCAAATCCTGTGGTGGAGGTGAGATTTTTGAACATTAAGGTAAACTCTTTATTTTTTTTAATCTAACCACCAGGTATCCAGACCTACGTGAAGACCTGCTACAGAGAAGCCCATCCCCACAATCAAATCCCCGTCAGCGACAGGCGATGCGCCCATTTGGACGCACCAGCCTCAGCCCCTGTGCGTTGTAACGTGGAACCTTGTCCTCCCAGCTGGGAAGGGTACTGGACTGAATGCAGCGTCTCCTGTGGGGAAGGCGTCCAGCAGTACATTCCCCAGTGCAAGCAGGAACTAGCCAGCGGTGCCATCATAATCGGTGACGCCCAATGCCCCAGACCAAAGCCTTCTAGTCAGACTAGGTCATGTCGAGAAGTTGCTTGCGAAATTAGCGACAACGAGTTGCCCCAGACCGTGGATGGTCCCAGAGAGTGGTCTGTTGGACCTTGGAGTGAAGTAAGCAAAATTTATTACTTTTTAAGCGGTTTATAGTGGTTCTCAACCGATAGATATCAGAGGTACCTCAAGGGTCCATCCTTGGATCACTACTATTTCTAGTTTTCATGAATGATGAGCCTGATCCTGAGCTGCAATATTCTGAGTGCAGATAATTTTAAATCGTATTTTTCGGTGTCAAATATGCAGCAATTTTAAAGATCTTGAAATGATTTCTAAGAGTAATCTCAGTTTTCTAGGACACATTAACAATGTTCAAGCTGAAATTTACGAAGATCTCGGTTTCATTCGAAGAAACTAAAGCAATTTTCTGGAATTAAATTTACTTACCCTTTGATAGGTTGGGTGACAGGAAAATAGGTTTTTGAAACTAAAAATTTCCTATCCGAAATGTTCTTTTAATAAAAATAAATGCAAGTATGTCAGGGTTGTGTTTTGAGTAATGAGTAATTTAATTTAGTGCGACTAATTATTAATAATCAATCCGGATGGCGTAATAAAAAATATATTAGTAGATTCAAGTAAAAATCAACTTCAGCAAAAGAAATAGTTTATCTGCAGGTCTAGAACTCGGTATACAAGTAGTCTCCAATGAAGTTAAATTGATAGAATAAAAGTAAGCAAAAAGAGTGTTTTAACTCACATATAAATACCAACACAAAAATTTGGCGCCCAACATGGGGTCATTATAAATAGATTAATTAGTCGATTGCAATCAAATAAAACGATCACAAATATATTTCCAGTGCTCTGCATCCTGTGGCACTGGTCACAGAAGCAGGCAGGTGACGTGTCCTTCTGGGGTATGTCGAGCAGAAGAACGACCAGCCCACGCGGAATACTGCAACACTGGCCCCTGCAACTCCACACCCGTCAGTCAGTCTCAACATTCTCCAAATTCTGCACCATTCTCCTCTTGGTTAGTGACTGAATGGACGCACTGTTCTGAGGCCTGCGGCACAGGAACCCAAAGCCGACTGGCAGTGTGTGGCCTCCAGGATCAAAACAGTTGCAGTTCGGAGAGCAAACCAGATTTATCCAGGGCCTGTTCCAGCGACAAGCAATGCGGAGGTCAATGGTTCACAGGTAAGCAACTTCCATCCCTGACTGTCAAAAGCATTGAAGAGTTCTTTCTAGGTCCATGGGGGCCATGCTCGGAGTCTTGCACCGACAGGGCAAGGCAGAAACGCGAAGTCTTCTGCGTGGTGAAAATCCGCGGTCAGTCGCACATCACGAACGAAATGACCTGCTCCTCTCAGTTGAAACCCCACGAGGAACAGGCATGCGCCGGGGTTTGTCCCCCACACTGGTTCATCGGCGACTGGGGGCACTGCGACGGTGGTTGTCCCGTAGGCGTCCAAAGGAGGGAAGTTAGGTGCATGGACCACTACGGGAGACCTTCGAACGGGTGTCCAGAGGCCGATATGCCCGTGGCGAAGCGCACTTGCGCTTGCGAGGCAAATGCTGACCAAAGGGAGAGGTACAAACCGGCGCAAGATGAACCCGTTGATCGTAAGTTAATGATATGAGAACTATTCTAACCGATAATATTGAATTTCTTTGGTCGATGGTTGTGAAGTGAAAAATTCCATTTTTGTTTTAGGATCTTGTCTTGACCGAATCCGAAAATGTAAATTGGCAGTGCAGGCGCGCCTGTGCCACTACCCCTACTACATTAGCCACTGTTGCGAGTCCTGCAGAGCAGCAGGACCCGACGGAATGAAACTGTGATTGGAGAGGAGTAGTCAAGTTATGTACTGAAGATATTAATAATTATTATTAGAGTTGTTAGCGAATGTGAAGGTGTGAAAGTAATATAACGCGTGAGTGAGTTTTCCACAGTAACGGACATTCTGATTAAGTAACACTTCACGCACCACACGCAGGTATAAAACTGAAGGGTTCTTTAATTTCTTCCAATAGTTTGTGACTAGTCCTTTGGGTGTATCCAAGAGATAAACGAATTAATAAGTTTTTGCGTACACATCTATATGTTTGTAAGTTACATACATGTAATAGAAATAGGCCCCAAGGTAGTGCCTTGAGGCACCCCGATCCATACAGTTAAGCTAAAATATTGTGACAAGTGTATATACCTGCTGCTACTCTAAACTGTGTATGTCTACATATATTTTAATACCTAACTAGTGTCCTTAAACTATAATTATGGTATTTTGATATTATTTTCCTACAAAATATACCATCATGCATGGAATACTCTTTTATTTTAAATAGATGTCTGTGATTGTCGCTATTCTATTAACTGTTTAGTGCGAGATACTTACCCCATTGTACTTCGCTTAAGAGAGCACTGCCAAATTTAATTTAAATTCGTTAAAAGTCTACTTAAAAGTTACGATCGGCGCCAGGTGGCGTTCGACGACTGCGCACTTGCCAAATCATGTCTTGTATCATTGACATTTTATTCTTGATTCTTTGTCGTAAGTGTAAGCTACGAGAATAAGTATTATATTTAGCCTGTATGTATTTATTAGTCAAGTACTGAATAAAGTTTTTCACAAACTGTCACCTGTTTTTATTGCACTTTAAGTTAATGAATCTTTCTTTCAGTGCAAACAAGTGTAATCTTGAATGGGGTCATCTCTAACCTAACGCTATCTGCGCATAATCAGTTGAGAACTACGGTGTGCATTGTTTCGTTGTCGATTCGTATGCCTACATGCTTTTTCAGAATATCACGCAGAAATTTAACAATGAAGACACACAAACATTCAGTACCGTTACTAAATCTACCGTTTTAGCCTGCTTAGTACCCTGTTGTCATATCACAACAGGTGTATTGATATTATATAGTTTACCTACACTAAGTTAACGTCATTATGTCATTGACATTGAGACTCACAAACTATACAGGGTGTTACAAACTTTGGGTGGTGATAGTACATAAAAAATATGACTAAAAACTCTAATAAACATAACCTCTTAAACGCACCGTTTTGAAGTTATAGGCCTTAAAAGGTGCAACTATAAAAGTAGTTTTTATGACGTAACTCTTTGTTGGAAAAAGAAAACTTAATGAAATCTTCAGGGGCTAATCAGCTTTAGGAAATCAATAAATAATGCGGATATGAATAAAATCCAGAAAGCAGAAGGGTGTTTTTTTTATCACCCTGTATCCTATTTTTTGCTAAAAAAAATTTTTCTGCAAAGGTACAGCAAGTATCATAAGATTTTTAGAAAGACCATTAAATTTAGAAATTTTTTTGTCTCTTGTGTTTTTTATGTAAAATGTTTAGTTTTCTAGTAAATTTACAAAATGCAGAGAGATGAGTGCTTCCGAATTATTTACATACATTTCTTAAGCCTAGTGAATTTTTAAGAATACAATCAATTTCCAAAATAATTTTTTTAATTAAGTAACCAAAACAGAACTAAAACAAAATATGTTATTATAATAAATGTTGAAATTGACCTCCTTCTGCATCGATACATGCTGTCAGTCTCTTTATAAAGTTAAATCTGACTCTTTGGAATATGAATAGACTATTTCTTATTAAATTAAAGGTTTCTACAATTCGCAGTCTAAGTTGATCTTCTGTATCAACAGGGGTTGCATAAACTTGAGATTTCGCGTGTCCCCAAAGATAAAAATCGACAGGATTCAAGTCCGGTGATCGCGGTGGCCAGGCTATTGGTGCATTATATCCTCTTCCAATCCATCGATTAGGAAACCGCATATGTAGATACTCTCTAACATGAACACTGAAATGCGCAGGTGCCCCGTCATGGAGGTACCACATGTATTGTCTCAAATTTAAAGGAACATTTTCCATTAACTCAGGGAGATGGTTTTCTAGGAAGTTTAAATATTCTACTGCATCAAGCCTTTGAGGTAGAAAGAAAGGCCCGAGCAAATAGTCACCTATTATTCCAGCCCATACGTTGACTGAGAATCGGTGTTGGTGATGACTATCAATGGTAGCATGAGGATTTTCGTCTGACCATGCATGTGCATTGTGCAAGTTCAGTAAACCATCTCGTGTAAAGGTGGCTTCATCGGTAAATAAAATGGAGCTAATAAATTCCACATTATGTTGGTGATGGTTAAGTATTATTCGGCAGAATTCTAGGCGTCGGGGAAGATCTTCAGGCATTAAATGTTGCACTTTTTGGAGATGGTAGGCATAAAGGCCGTTTTCCTTCAAAACACGCCAAACTGACATTCTGGAAAGCTGTAACTGATTAGCTGCCCTTCGCACACTTTCTCCCGGATTTTGTTCAAAAGATCTCAAAATTTGTTCATCTTGCGCGGGTAGTCTTCTAGCAATTCTACCACAATGTATGTAACGGGGTACCACACTACCAGTTTCAATAATCCGTCTGTGAATCCGAGTAAATAATTGTGTAGACGGCTGACGTCTCTGCGGATAACGTTCTATGTATGTTCTTCGAGCAGCTGTTGCATTTCCATTACATAATCCATAAATAAAATGCATTTCGGCATATTCTTGATTAGTAAAACGATTGTTATCCGCCATTGTACTCACAAATTAATAATTCGTCAACAGACACGATTAAAATATGGTAACAAATGTCAACTATGTTAAAAGTGACAGGCGCCTACTTTTTGAATACGTCAAATTTAACACCTAGCGGTGAGTAAACTCCCTTTGCATTTTGTAAATTTATTAGAAAACTAATCATTTTACATAAAAAATGCAAGAGACAAAAAAATTTCTAAATTCAATGGTCTTTCTAAAAATCTTATGATATTTGCTGTATCTTTGCAGAAAAATTTTTTTTGGCAAAAAATAGGATACAGGGTGATAAAAAAACACCCTTCCGCTTTCTCAATTTTATTAATATCCACATTATTTATTGGCTTCCTAAAGCTGACTAGTCCCTGAAAATTTCATTATGTTTTCTTTTTCCAACAAAGAGTTACGTCACAAAAACTACTTTTGTAGTTGTACCTTTTAAGGCCTACAACTTCAAAACGGTGCGTTTAAGAGGTTATGTTTATAAGAGTTTTTAGTCATATTTTTTTATGTACTATCACCACCCAAGGTTTGTAACATACTATACGGGACACCCTGTATAAACTAATAAACATATACTTTTTATTAAAAACTAAAAACGTTCATAAAACAGAAAAGATAGTTATTTTAAAACATAAATTCTTACAATTATTAACTTTAACAAATAGTTAAAATTCAGTAAATCGTGCAATCCTAAAGTTTGTTGATCATTTAAAAAATCCTCACTATCCGAGATGAAATCAAAAACTTCAATAAGTTTCTTTCTGTAAGTTTTGACCATAAGAACAGCTCTAGAAGAAAAATTCCAACGGGTGGGAGCATTACTTGGAATCCTGTGTTGCATTATTTTATTTAATACGTCAGATCTTTTAGCAGATTTGGAAAAAATGAGTAAATACGGAAAAATTTGAAAAAAAATTCTCACATCTTTAATGCCGTTTCAAACTTTACTTAAAACTAAATTTATCCCTGCCACTTGTTTGTCAAAAAATCCAACAAATCTTTCAACAACTTCTCCATGCACTACGTATCTAAAAATTACCGATAATAATTATTGGTTTAAAAAGGATACAACTGACAACACTGTTAAGTTGCGTAGACAAGATTTTAAGTGTAGTTTAAATAATTATCTACTTACAACTCGACCATTCATTTGATTAAAAAAATAATTTCAGATTATAAGCCGACCCTGTGCATCTTATGCACGTGCGTTGTGTGTTGCAGTATTACTTAGCAGGCTTATAAAACTAACAGTACCGTGTGCCTTGTACTAGGGGAACAATTATTATACCCCTATCATGTACAAAGGGTTCAGGCATTCAATAACAATAATATTCAGCCCCGTGTGGAATTTTGCCAGAGATTTCGACATCAATTAGCACAGTATCCGAATTTTACAAGCAAGGTGCTTTTTACGGATGAATGTTTTACTAGAGGCGACACACAGTGGTCGGAATTCCGAAAAAGCTGGACAAAACTTGAAATTTCAAAGTCGTTGAATCATTTTTTGTGCCTCCGTGTACGGCTGGTTTACTAAGAGGCCTTAGATAACTAACAATAGCTAGCGTTTTAGGGTCTGTGCGCCTTTCAAACGAGCGTTTATAATTCAAATTGTTTTTTTTTTATGAACATACACCCTTTTCGTTTGCCATTTATCATATTTTTACAAGCTTTTATTTAACTGGCCTCGTTAGTATGGGTCAAATCTTGCAACTGAATTTTAAAATAGTTTCCCCCACCGATTGTGCTGAAATTTTGCATACACGTTTAGTTTGGATGACAATGCATGAGTAGCTAAGTGACGTCATTTTAAATCCAATATGGCGGACCAGTTATTTTTTACGCACCCCCATGATATGGGTATCAAATGAAAGGGTTCGCTGAGGAGAATACGAAAATAGTCACTAAAAGCTTACTTTTAAAAAAAATATTATAGATGAACTTATTATTTATGATCTTTCAATTCATAATTTATCATTTTAGACGGGATCAGGTACCAGTAAAATTACGTGCACAAGATAGATGAAAAAGAGAAGCTTTTCAACCGAAGCTATGGTGATATTTTCATGCTCTGATGGTTATGTGACAGATGATGATGATGCGAATGACTCATGTGTATTAGAATCAGCTAAGTAATTAGAATAAGCTTTATAACAAGAATAAGCTTCAATAGTATTTAGAAATTGTTTCGTTCGAAATGAGGAATTAACTCCAAATACATGCCTTATATTGCAGATATTTACCTTTCGTACTTTATTAATAATAATTAATTACCTCAAAAACCTCAAACTGCGACCTTACATACGTTTTACGCGACCTCAATACCAGAGGCACTCGAAATTTCAATTAGATTCAATAAATTAACGTGATATATTGGCCATTTTGTATCAGCCATCTTGAATTTGAGATTTTTGACTACAAATTAGGTGAAAAACATAAAGTCCCTACTTTTGGTGATGATGCAAGCCTTTTTGGACTTTTGTCCAGCTTTTTCGGATTTCCGACCACTGTGCGGCATGGTACTAAATTTTCACAACATTCGCTATTGGTGTGATGCAAATCCTCACGTTGTACGGAGATCTCGGTTTCAGCAACGGTGTTTTTGGTGACAGAATTTTGACCGTCGTTTGGAAGCATGTTTCTTAGCACATAGAAACTATTTTGAACAATTTTTGTAGAGCATATCGTCTATTGGTAAGTAATTCGTTACTCGTTTAATTTTTTTAAATGAAATTTGAATAAATTTCAACATTTTCGTCACACAAAATTTAAACCGCCAAAACCGCCATCAGTGCTTTCGCTCTGCGACGCGCGGCAGCTTAGACATCAAAGGTACAGACATTTGCCGTACCAGGGACGGCTTGTTTATACCTTCACGTGAATTTTAAAACGTAAATATACAGGAAGCTCTAGTTTAAAAAATATATACATTTATCGAGTTCTGTCTAAGTAGATGTTCAATCATTTTCGAACATAAGTATTTAAACAAGTTCTCTACAACTTTATTTATACACTTTTTTCATATTTCGAAGTACAGTACAGATAACAGTAGATGCAATTTTCACGTGATCTCCCTGTACACATGATTAACGCACGATTCTTAATTATGATTTTGGTTTTAGAAAATATCCAATATAACTGAACTTTACTTATGGCAAGTATATTTAGGATGACCCAACATACAAAATAATAATGTACAGCCCCTCCCCACATAGCTTCCCGATATGTTTAACTATATATCGCATAGCAGTGAAAAATTAAACAGAAAAGAATAAAAATTCTTGATACTCTTGACGAGAACTTTGCCTAGTAAACTGGTAGCTTTTAATCCACGTCCCAGACGAGGAATAACACCACCAGTATCTAAAATACGCTTGCACCCCGCATTAAAGGACGAAGGGGGTATTTTGTATAGTTATAAACGGACTGTAAGCTTGTAGGTGGTGATAGAAAATTAACGTTGTTGTAAAAGACCAACGCTTCAAGAAAACAACGATTTTATTTGATTATAACCTGATGCTATCGCACCGTTTATGGACCACAGCGAAACCACTATGGTTAATATGAGAGCTGCTGCTCTGGATTCTTCTCCGTGATAATAGGCAAACCAATGGGTGTAGTAGCCGTAACATAAACTGACTATACCGATGGCGTAGCCTAGGATGCCTACTCCGTTGTGGACAAACTTGTACCACACTGGCCTAAGGGACAAGTAGCTCTTCATTTCGTTGGAGTAGTTTGCCGCCACTCCCAAGAAGAGGGAGAGAATGAGGATGATCATGGATATGAGACCTGCAAAATATTAGAAAATCTACAGAGTGATATATGAATAGTTGTCTGCAATACTTTTAAAATAGAATAAATAATGGGTACAATAATTTCATTATAAATAAATGATATTTTTAAAAGAAAAAATTATATCTGAACTTGTTATTGACTTATCATTATCACTGTATAAATATTTTTTACTACCTCATCAGACTGTTGTTAATTGAGTACAGGTGAAAAACAAAGATTAGATCAACGTAAATATATTTTTTTAATGTTCCGTCATTTGCATAAGATAAGGATATAATTTTATAAACAAAATCAACTGATTTTCTAAAATATACGATGCTTTAGTTATATTTTATATACCATTTTTTTACAAACCTGTTATTCCATGTGCAGTATAAAAATGATAATCTGGATGGTAGTAATGAAACATCAGCGAGTTCCCCACAATGATAAATACAGTCCCTACGGTGATCAGAATAGCGTGGACACTATATTTCTGCTTCCTAGATAACTGCCTACTCCATAGTTCGTCACCCACAAACAGCATTAGAGCTTCTGCCATCAAGGGTATGTACTGAAAACCAAGTCGAAATAAAAATAAAGTCGTTTTGCTCGACGTGAAAACAAAGATAGTCAAAAGAAGTTAATATTTCGCAGTAGTAGACCTCATCAGAGGTATATTAATTGTCTTTTATTGCTAATTACAATTCCGAACGAGAACGAGGACTTAAATATTTTTTATTAAATTTTTATATCTATTTTTTGCAAACTTATCACAATAATTCGAGGAAACATTTTTGGAACCACTGGCTTCATCGATAGCTCAGCAAGTGTACATACTTCACTGCACATAGAGATGTGCTTTTAATAGTGCAAATTGATTAATTGTTGCTAAAGTTGAAGCAGCAACTTTTCTATTTATTAGAAAAAAGGCGGGACAGAAAAACCGGAAGTAACGCTGTTACAGCCAAGGATCACCTCTTTTTATGTAGTACGTCGCCGACTATTCCAGAGCTTTTCAACAAGTTTTAACAATTATTAATGCAGTCTACTTAGCATTAAAAGATCCTTTCCAAACTCCTATAATTACCCCAAAATTACAAATCCTAACTGTATTACAATTATTTTTGAGTTGAAAAAATATATTTGTACCTATTCTTTTTACACAACTATGACGTGACTGTATCCTACACTTGTCAAATTCTTCTGATCCCATATTAGGTCGCAAAATTTGGCGTTCTGTCGATTGAGAATATTGGTCTCTAATATCTTACAACTTTTATCCCAAACTTTTTTTATAGGCCTCAATCTTGAGAAGTTATCGGAGGTAAGGGTCTTTTTGGAACACCCTGTATATAGTTAATGCTGAAAAATATAATTTGGAAGGATGCATTGACAAATTATAATTTTTCTTGCACAATTATTCTTTAGTAATTAAGAAGAAATTGTGATAGGCCAAGACAAGGGGTTTAGGAAACAATGTATTATTAGAACTCGAATAAAAAAAGTGTTGATAAAATAAAAGACATGGTAACAGCATACCTATTTACGATTTATAATTTTAAGAAAAATATAATTGAAAGTTAGGATTTATTTAAGTAATAAAACAATATTTAGACCTCATTTGTTTTTTATTTGCCATATTTGAAGCCAGCATATCCATAAGTCAGAACATACAGAGTGGAAAGTTTAACTGAAACAAATTCTGTAACTTAATAAATAAAGGTTTGTCGTGAGGTTTAGTAGCATAAACCCTCATCTTTAGATATCCCCATAAAAAAAATCTAATTGGGTAAGATCGGGTGATCTTGCTGGCCACTCAATTGAGCCCTCTCTTCCAATCCGCCTATTCGGAAACACTTCGTTGAGACAGGTCCGTTCATTTTGAGCAAAATGTGGTGGTGTCCCGTCTTGTTGAAACCATATCCGTTGGTGAAATAAGTCGGGATACAAATTATTGGGGAACCAGTTCATCTTGAGCATAGTTAGTTATGTTTGTCCGGTTACATTTTCATTGAAAATACAGCACCTACTATGCGATCTTCAATACTTCCAGCCCAGTCGTTTGTTTTTTTGAGACCTTTGAGTATGACATCCAGTGAGGATTTTCGTCAGCCCAATAAGAGCGGTTGTGCCGATCGATATGCCCATGTAATATGAACGTAGCTTCATCAGAAAACATCACCGATTCCAATGCAATTTGCCCGCCATCGATAGAAGCCATAATTCGTTCGCAAAAGTCGAGCCTACGATCAGGATCATCTTCGTTAAGCTCGTGCAGGTTTTGGATCTTATATGATGAACGGTAGCTATTTGCCTAGCTGAAGCATAAGTTGTTACGATATCAATTGGAACCTGTGAACCTTAGGACCGTCTGTACATCACTTGAAATTTCTTCCTATGCCTTAGCCATGATCTGTCTCGTAATTTATACTCGAAGAGCCATTGGGCGAGTCCGGTATTGGTAGANTAAATAAATAAATAAATAAATAAATAAATAAAAATGTGGTAGTGTCCCGTCTTGTTGAAACCATATCCGTTGGTCAAATAAGTCGGGATACAAATTATTGGGGAATAAATCCGCTAAAGCAGGAACCAGTTCATCTTGGGGCATAGTTAGGTATGTTTGTCCAGTTACATTTTCATTGAAAAATACAGGACCTACTATGTAATCCCCAATAATTCCAGCCCAGACGTTTGTGTTTTGAGACCTTTGAGTATGACATTCACGCATCCAGTGAGGATTTTCGTCAGCCCAATAAGAGCGGTTGTGCCGATCGATATGCCCATGTAATATGAACGTAGCTTCATCAGAAAACATCACCGATTCCAATGCAATTTGCCCGCCATCGATAGAAGCCATAATTCGTTCGCAAAAGTCGAGCCTACGATCAGGATCATCTTCGTTAAGCTCGTGCAGGTTTTGGATCTTATATGATGAACGGTAGCTATTTGCCTAGCTGAAGCATAAGTTGTTACGATATCAATTGGAACCTGTGAACCTTAGGACCGTCTGTACATCACTTGAAATTTCTTCCTATGCCTTAGCCATGATCTGTCTCGTAATTTATACTCGAAGAGCCATTGGGCGAGTCCGGTATTGGTAGACTAGTCCGCCCTATGTAGAATCGACGGCGGCGTGCTGGTCATCAAAGGAAACGTGTATTGGTCCACTAGGTCGTAAATATTTTTTTTCATGGTATTCTATAATTAGTTTGGTGTCGAACGCAGTTCACTTGGTTTTGCCAGTGCAGTGGAGAGCAGAGCTTAATTATTTGTTAATATTATTATTTGTATATATCATAACCAGTAAAGGGTAATAGTTATTAAAATAAATATTATATGTAATTCTCTAATAATTTAGCATGGCTTTTTGGAAACCCTTTGAAACGGAAGATAACGGAATAACCCGAGAAAATCCCCAAATACTCGAGGCGGTTTTTGTCGAAAGCGTCGAAATAAACTCAAAGTTTAAAAACAAAATATATATGAATGTTTGAAAAGAGAAAATAGTGAACAATGTGTTAAAGAAATTAGGAAACGGATTAGCGAATTAACTAAGATATAAAAAACTACAATTTATAGCGTAATTAAAGAAAGGGACGTTATTAATCACGGTACAAAGAGGAAACGGAAAAATACAAAATTAAAGAGTATTAACGATTTTACCAGAGATATAATTCGGTGCATAATTTATAATATGTATAAAGAAAATAAAGTTGCTACTTTAAACATGATTCGAGATAAATTAAGCGACTGTCCTGATTATAATTAAGTATGAATCTTTAGATACTTTACGACATGTTTTATTACGATGCGGTTTTAAACATAAAAAACCTGACAATCGTATGGTAATTATGGAATCACGACGTATTGTTGAATTTCGGGCAGATTATTTAAAAAAAATTAGAGAATATCGCCAACTAAATAGGAATATAGCTCGGAATATAGTATATCTAGACGACAGGGCAAAATTTTTCTGGACGCCTATGGATTCCGTAGAATTTATGAGTAAAATGTTTTTATGCGGTTCCAATTGAGATCGTAACAACTATAACAGGATTTTCCTCAACTTCAACTCTTGATATCGATTATCGATTTAGCTAATTGTTCTTCGATTAATTGGAGGCATGAACTTCAACAAACAAACGAGGCCTGTGTTCGACTTCTGTCCCCACATTTGATCATCATCAAAATTTCGATACGATGTGTCTCGGTTAAATAGGGCATTTTCTTATTTTTGGTTTTTTATTTACACGTTGAAATACAAATAAGTACTAACAAATCAGTCGCATTCAGTTCAAATTATTAATTCTTTAAAGAAGTTTCAATAAACATTTCCTTATTTTATTTTTTTCCAACGCATTGCTTATAAAAAGTAACAGAAAATATGTATTTGCAATTGAAAAAACTTTAAAATAAAAAATGAGTCAAAAAATAAATAGACCTCTTTGTAATATGTTTCAGGAATTTCCTTTATTTAGTTAAAGCATTTGTTCCAGTTAAACTTTCCACTCTGTATATCATATGACTAAAAGAAACAACTTTTCTCAACATCTCAAATTATTTCATATATCATTATATTTTCCATGAGTCAATGAATATCACAACGGAAAAACCCCACATTTTAAGATAATTTAATAATACAATAGATTAATTGAAAACTACTAGACAATAAAAAAATATATTATCTCCATATTTAGTGAAAAGATGTCTTTACAGGTGAACAAATATTCCTTTGATGATGCGCACTTAATTGACGACCTATTTACGAGTATAAGTGCAATGTACTTACCCCAAAAGTGCAAAGAATAACGTGGTAAGAGAACCATCCGCTCAAATTTTGCAGTGGTGTCCAACAGCAGTAAAGAAGGAGCCCTCCAAAAATAAATCTAGTCAGATAGTTTGCGAGGAACCTCGCCACATTAATCGGAAGTTTGCCGTAATCGAAAGACATCTCTAGCACCAATACCGCTAGACTAAAGAAAGTAGTTTGTTGATCGACGATGTTGTTTCAAGGCGATTGTTTTGCATGTAAACTACACTCGATGGGATTTACCGCGTTTATTCTCGGTATCTTGAATGTGTGATTCTACTCGTACTCCCGCCGGCAGTCATTCACTTTCTAGGCCGCTGCGTGTTAAGATGGATACGAGGGAGGTTGGAAAACAACTCTTTCAAACGGCAGTAAAGGATATGCACAAAAATGTAAACTAAAATCTTCATATTACCATTCTTGATGATGATGTACAACCAAAATAATAACTAAACTGAACTTGACACCGCATATAAGTAGTGCGTCAGCTACAGAAATTCAAAATGATTTATTTTTTATCGTAATGATAAATAAATAATATAAAAAATAAAATAAATAGTTTTCGATTCAATTTAAAATAAAATTAGAGAGTAATTTACCCATCTTAAATAAAATGCGGTTAATAATATATAAAAACTGGGATGAACACAAAATATTAACACGCTGCTTGCCGGTATCTTGATACACAAACAATGCAAATATCTATAGGGCCGATTTATGATAATGTATCGCCTATAATGAAAAGTTTTATTTGTAAATACTCATCACTTTGTAAAAATACAATGAAAATAAACAAGGTCGAAGAATATTTACTCTACTTCTGTAAATTATTCTACTAATATCACACCAAATGTTTAAAGATGACTTTATTGCTTAACAAATATTTTAGAAATGAATTCATTCTCAATGTAGAAAAGCGTCGATAATTTAGTAAATAATTTGGTTTGGTAAATGTCTTTCACTAAAAATTATTCAAATGCCCTCGTATATTTCCATTGTTTATTAAAAATATTGATAATTTTTTTTATTCTTGCGCAAGGAAGCAAGAAACTATTATCTATTATCAGTTTTACGAGAGGGCAGTGAGGAAATCCAATTATATTTATATCTAATCTTTTATCAATAAATATCAATTTTTATATCTTTCAGAAATAAGATGCACGTAGATTGATAAAAGACCTTTAATGATTTGCAGTTATCATCATTATCGTAATTTATTTGTAGATCCTAAGTTCTTCTGTACCTTTTCAACGTACACTCTCGTCCAGTGAAGACAAAAAGTTCTCTGACAAGGACAAATAATCCCGAAACTGCACCCGCCAATCAATTAAAACGCGTTTTTAAAAAATCACAGACTTTATTTGACCATACAATGACACCAATGCTTTATTTACAGACCACAATGAAGCCAGTATGGTTACTATGAGTGCCGTCATCCTGGATATGTCTCCATTATACAAAATAAACCAATCTGTGTAGTAAGCGTAACATAAACTGGCAATTCCTACAGCATAACCTGTCAATCCTGTCACATTGTGTATAAGTTTGTAGCAAACTGGCTTCAGAGAACAAAAGTTTTTCATTTCTTGAGAGTAATTCACTGACAGACCCAAAAATATAGACAGGGTCAGAATTACCATCGATACCAGACCTAAAAAACATAATGAGGCACAGTAAAAGGATATTTTTTAATGTAAATTTAGCATAAGGTAGTGATTAGATGACATAAAACTTCATTGTACTCCCGGGGTGCCCTAGGGGTCTATTTTGGGGCCTATTTCTTACATTATTTATTACAAGTTACTTGCTGTTTATTTTTGAGAATATGTTACATTTACCTGTTATTCCATGCACTGTATACAAGGGAAATCCTGGTTTTATGTAATAAATTCCAGGTAGATTCCCTACGATTAGGCATAAAATCCCTATGGTGGCCAAAACACCATGGACTCCATACTTCTCTGTCCTACTCAACTGTTTGCTCCACAGTTCATCACCAGCGAATAACATCAGCGCTTCCGCTGTTAAGGGCATAAGCTTAAAACATATGACTTTTACATAAAGTTATATTTCATAATACACCAGTATTGTATAGAGGGCAACAGTATATCTTAATAGATAGTTAAAATGGAATAGAAAAAAACGAAATTAAAAAATTGAGATGTACCATAAATATCTGTCCAATAATTATTGTCATTATTAATCATAATTTAAAATAAATGAAATAAAACAGGTTTATAAAGAATCTTAGGGTCATGCTTTGTTTATGTGACCCGTGTTTGTTGATAGTAAGTATGAAATAATCAATGTGATTTTGGTAAATACGTTCAAGTACATAATTTCTGCGAAACATTAGAGCATTGTACTTACCCCAATCGTACAAAATATCACATGATAGGAAAACCAATCGGTAAGGTCTTGGAGTGGCATCCAACTGCAGTATAACGTAATCGACGCAAATACAAACCTCACTACATAATTAATAAGAAATCTGATCACGTTTATGGTCAGCTTTCCGTAATCGTGTTGGACCATATCTTTTAATAATAAACACTGCAATTAATGCTGGTGGTTTATTTATAACAAATTGATTCGTACGTAAGTTTTATTGGTTATGGAATTATGGAATTATTTTACTGGGATTCACTAGCAACGTTAATTGGAATTCTGTTTTTGTTCTAGTTCTTTTACATGTCTCTTTTTCTAATCAAACATTAATACCATAGCACAGCTTATACAGCTCTCCAACTGTCTTGGCGGGAACGGTTAGCGTCGATTTCGTCGCGCAGCTTTTATGCCCCGCCATCCAGCGGAAAAGACGGCTTTGGCGTTCGTTCAGGCAAGTAACGACAATGGGTGGTAAGAATTGCAATCATAGGCGTGGGTATAATTTCGTTGATTTATTTTTATTTTATATAATAATGAAAATGAATATACCTTATTTGGACAATTGCAAATGCCAAACGATAACTTTGTTGAGCTCATTTGTAACACTGAAAAGATATTTCAAGATAATTTTGAACAATTATCCACAAAAAATAACATTTGTAGCACATTTCTTGAATTAATTAAAAGACTACCTTTTAGTCATCCGTGTCATTCTTTTCCGAAAGAATTTGTACTTAGGTTATATTTAAGGGTTAGAATTTATTATACGTTATAAACTATAAACCAAAATTTTAGGAATATTCAAAAAATAAACTT